CTTTCTCTCTCTCTCAAAAATAACACCTGTATATCAATTAAGAAACCAATCAGCCCAAAAGAAAAAAAAAAGGACAAAAGATATGAATAGATTATGAAATAGGAAAAAAAAAGGGCTGTTAATCACAAGAAAAAATAATTTGACATCAGTTATAATTTTAAAAATGTAAATTATAACTGCAGTAAAGAAACCATTCCTCATCATCAGTATGATACAGACAAAAGTTTGCTAACATACTGCTGAGTAATGGTGTAAGAAAACAGATATTAATACTTTTTTGGTGAGAAGTTAACAGCTTCTATACAGGGCAATTTGGCAGTATCTACCGCAACTACAAATGCAAATATCCTTAGAGCCAGTAACAACACTTGTAGAATTTTAGCCTACAAACATATTCATACACATGTGAAATGACATGAACAAGAATATTTATTGTAGCAATGAGTAAAATAAGACTAGAAACCATTAAGAAGAAATTAAATAAATTATGATCCTCCTCTTTAATAAAACTCAATGCAGTTATTTACTGATAACAATCTATCTCCAAGAGCAGTTCTTAAGTGAAAAAAGGTTAAACAAGTGAACATAGTGATGTATACAACATGCTCCCTTTCCATGTTTAAAAACAGAGGGAACATGCCTGTGTTTGTATGTTAATGTATTATAGTATTACATTTTACTAGGGGGATACATAAGAAACCAATAAACTGGTATTAGCTATCTCAGAGGAGACCTGAATGGTTAGCAGACAAGGGAGACTTTTCACTGCATAAGCTTTTATCCCTGTTGAATTTTGTGCCATATGGAATGTATTACCTATTCAAAAATGTAAAATGAATGTTGTTGGTTTTTTTTTCCTTTAGAGAAAAAGAGAGGAAGACAGTGCCAGGGAGAGGGGCAGAGAGAGACAGAGAGACAGGGCTCAGATCCCATGACCCTGGGATCATCACTAAGGTGAAATCAAGAGTCAGATGCTCAACCGAATGAGCCACCCAGGCACCCCAAATGAATTATTTTTAAATTAATTCAATCAAAAGGACTTATAATGGAACATTAGCAAAGACATTTTCTTATAAAGAGCTTCGGATAATAATTTCCAAAATGTCAGAACCAAAATAATACACAGGAAAAAAAAATCACAAAAGGTTCAAAAATAACCAAAATATGTAATATATGGTATATAAGTAGATATTCTAATTTACACTAAAATTACCCAAGACTGAAAAATTCATCTTGCAAAATCCTTCAGAAACTATAAAGTAACACCAAGAAAGAAAAAAAAGAGAAAGTCACTAATTATTTAAAATAGAATCTTCTTGGGCATTCTGCCAACAAGGTAAAGGGCAGTGGTCACTGCTTCAGAGTAGTTTCATTTTTATCTGCTCAGTATATTGGACTTCCTATTTTTTATCGAAAGAAATACTTTAAAACAAAAACTTCGAAAAGTACTACAGGACATCTATTAAAAACAAAACCGATATTTGAAGGAGCTGAGAGGCTAAACAAAACACACAAGGCTTTAACCGTACTAATCAAGAAAAAAAAAGATCAAATAACATCAGAAATGAAGGAAGAGAAATAAAAACCAACACCACAGACATAAAAAGAATTATATGAGATATTATGAAAAATTTTATGCCAACAAACTGAACAACCTAGAAGAAATGGGTAAAATTAAATGGAATCAGGAAGAAATAGAAGATTTGAACAGACTGATTGCTCACAATAAAAATGAATCAGTAAAAAAACACTCCCAAGAAACAAAAGTCCAGGATCAGATGGCTGCACAGGTGAATTTTACCAAATATTTAAGCCTGGGTGGCTCAGTAGGTTAAGTGTCCGACTCTTGATATCAGCTCAGGTCATGATCTCAAGGTTGTAAGATCGAGCTCCATGTCAGGCTCTGTACTGACAGTGGGCACCTACTTTTTCTCCCTCTCTCTCTCTACCCCTGCCCTGGCTCGTGCACATGCACATACTCTCTCTCCAAATAAACATTTTTTTATTTTTTTTTAAACATTTTTTTAAAAAGAGAGTTAGTACTTATTCTTCTCAAACTGTTCCAAAATAAAAAAGGAGGGATACAAAACCAGATACCAAAACCAGACAGGTACTACCAAAACAAAACAAAACAAAACAAAACAAAAACCTTGCAAAACTACAGGCCAATACATACCTCTGATGAATATAAGTGCAAAAACCTCCAACAAAATATTAGCAAACCAAATCCAACAATACATTAAAAGGATCTTTCATCACAGTCAAGTGGAGTTTATTCTAGGGATGCAAGGTGGTCCAATATTCACAAATCCATCAACATGATACATCACATTAACAAGGAAAGGATAAAAACCATATGATCATCTCCATAAATGCAGAAGAAGCATTTGACAAAGTACAACATCCATTCGTGATAAAAACTCTCAAGAAAGTGGGTTTAGAGGGAACATACCTCAACATAATAAAGGCCACATACGAAAAAATGCACAGCTAACATCATACTCTATGGTGAAAAACAGAGCTTTTCTTCTAAGATCAGTAACAGAAGAGAGAGGTCAACTCTCAGCACTGTTAGAGTACTGAAAGTCCTAGCCACCACAAGCAGACAAGAAAAAGAAATAAAAGCCATCCAAGGTAAGGAAGAAGTAAACTTTCACTATTTACAAATGACATGATACTATATATAGTAAACCCTAAAGACTCCACCATAAAACTATTAGAACTAATAAATGAATTCAGTAAAGTCACAGGACACAAAATTAATATACAGAAAACTATTGTATTTCTATAAGCTAATAACATAGCAGAAAGAAAAATTAAGAAAACAATTCCATTTGCAACTGCACCAAAAATAATAAAATATCTAGGAATAAACTTAATCAATGAGGTGAAAGAGATGTCATCTCTGAAAACTAAAACATGAATGAAAGAAATTGAAGATGACACAAATAAAAAGATATTCCATGTTCATGAATTGAAAGAATCAATATTAAAATGTTCCAAAATACCCAAAGCAATCTAGATTTAACATAATCCCTATAAAAATACCAAAGAGCAGTTTTCACAGAACTAGAACAAAAAATCCTAAAATCTGTATGGAACCATAGAAGACCCTGAATAGCCAAAGCAATCTTGAGAAACAAAAACAAAGCTGGAGGTATCACAATCCCAGATTTCAAGATACACTACAAACCTGTAGTAATCAAAACAGTATTATGGTACTGGCACAAAAACACAGAGATCAATGGAACAGAATACAGAGACCAAAAATAAACATACACTTATATGGTTAATTACTCTACAACAAAGGAAACAAGAATATACAATGGAAAAAAGAGTCTCTTCAACAAATAGTGTTGGGACAGCTACATGCAAAAGAATGAAATTGGACTACTTTTATTCACCATCCACAAAAATAAACTCAAATTGGACTAAAGATGTAAATATGAAACCTAAAATCATAAAACTCCTAGAAGAAAACATAGGTAGTAACCTCTTTGACATCAGCCAAAGAAATAGTTTTCTAGATCTGTCTCCTCAGGTAAGAGCAACAAAAGCTAAAATAAACTATTGGGACTACACCAAAATAAAAAGCTTTTGCACAGTGAAGGACTAGTGAAGGACTCAATCAACAAAATGAAAACACAACCTACTGAATGAGAGAAGGTATCTGCAAATGATATATCCAATAAAGGGTTAATATTCATACTATATAAAGAACTTATACAATCCAACAGCAAAAAAACACAAATAATCCAATTAAAAGTAGGCAGAGGACCTGAATAGACATTTTTTCCAAAGAAGACATACCGATCGATGGACAACAGACAAATGAAAAGATGCTCAATATCACTCTAATCATCGGGGACATGCAAATCAAAACCACAATGAGGTATCCTCTCATGTCTGTCAGAATGGCAAGAAGTGACAAGGGTTTGTGAAGATGTGGAGAAAAAGGAATCCTCCTGCACTGTTGGGTTGCAAATTGGTACAACCACTATGGAGGTTCCTAAAAAAATTAAAAATAGTATTACCATGGGGCACCTGCGTGGCTCAGTAGGTTAAGCATCTGACTCTTGCTTTCAGCTCAGGTCATGATCACACAGTTCGTGAGTTTGAGCCCCATGATGGGCTCTGCAATGAGAGCACAGAGCCTGCTTGGGATTCTCTGTCTTGCTCTCACTCTGCCCCTGCCCCTGCCCTGCTCGCATGCTCTTCCTCAAAATAAATTAATTAACTTAAAAAAATAGTACTACCATATGATCCAGTAATTCCACTACTAGGTATTTACTCAAAGAAAACAAAAACACTAATTTAAAAAGATATATGCACCCCTATGTATATTGCAGCATTATTAATAGCCAAGATATGAAAGCAACCCAGTGCCTATCCATAGAGAAATGGATAAAGAAGATGTGAAATAGATATATATATAAATACACATAAATGTTTATAAATAAGTATATAAATATCTATCTCATATCGTCTCTATCCATTGTGTGTATGCGTATGTGTGTGTGTGTGTGAGTATATGTGTATATATAGAGAGAATATAATGTTAAGTCAAGTCAGACTGAGGAAAATAAACACCCTATGACTTCACTTGTATGTGGAATTTAAGAAATAAAACAAAGAGAAAAAAGACAAACAAAAAACCCCCAAACTGTTAAATACAGAGAACAAACTGGTAGTTGCCAAAGGCGGGGGGGTGGGGAGAATATGGGTGAAATAGGTGAAGAGGGTTAAGAGGTACACTTATCTTGATGAGCACTGAGAAATGTATAGGATTGTTGAATCATTATATTGTACACCTGAAACTAATATAACACTGTATATTAATTATACTTGAATAAAAAATTAAGTAATTATGCCATAACATACAAAATAAATAAAAACTTAACATCTACATTTCAGACCCATAAATTGTCAAGAATTATAGTTGTCAGGCAAAAAGCTAATCAGAGCTAATCATTTATTTTAAAAGGTCACATAATGCTTACCTGAAAACTCGCCCATAATTCCCATGCACTTTATATACACCATAGAGTCGATCTGCTACTCTCTGGAATAAATTTTTAAAAGAGATTACTATTAGGTCAAAGTTATATACAGATTATTCTTTAAAAAGATGTCATCTTCATTTAAAAAAACAAAAGCTTAGTACAATAAACTTGAAAAATATGAAAAAGAAAAAAATTTCCCAAAGGCTCATCATGAGGTTGGGGAGGAACTAGTGCTATCATCATATTTATGTAACTGCTTTCATATATATATATGTATATATATATATACATATATATATGTGTGTATTTATTATATATATATAAAAAGAACATATAAAGATATGTTTTAATTATTGCTTTAAAATTTCTTATGTTAAAAGTGGTAAGGGGCGTCTGGGTGGCTCAGTTGGTTAAGGGTCAGACTCTTAGTTTTAGCTCAGGTCATGATCTCACAATTCATGAATTCAAGTCACACCTTGGGCTCTGCACTGCTTGGGATTCTCTCACCCTCTCTCTCTGCCCTTCTCATGCACTCTTGCTCTGTCTCAAAATAAACAAACAAACTTAAAAAAAAAAAAAAAAAGGGACAATATTTTTATCCAGCAGGTCAATATTACATTTAATAAATATGACTTTAAATAGCTGCATAAAATTCCACCTAGCAGTGTATACAATATATAACCACTCCTTGTTGGATATTTAGTTATCCCTAATTTTTTCAGTAGTATACATAATTTTGTAATAAGCACCTCTGAGAGTAAAGCTTTTCCCAAATTTCAGATTGTTTCCTTATGAAAAAGTTCTCAAAGTGGGTAAAAATATAAACATTTTCAATTTTATTGATAGTTTTATACATAAGTGCTGAACACATACAATATACTTCTATGCTACTTTATCACTATAATGCTTTCTAACCAACACATTAGATATTTTAATAACAGAATTATAATTTAGATCTAATTATAATTAGATAAAGATGAAATATATACTGTGTAGCTATTCACACAAATTTTACAAAAGACAAAACACCACATATGATAATTAATGCTTTACTCTGCTGCCAACTATTACAGACATGAACTGAAGACCAAAAGTAATCCCACATAAAACCCTAAACCCTAAAAAAAAAAAATTCTCAGTATACAAAAAAATATTCTTGGTTACACAGTTTCTAAATGTAAACACTGAGGATAAATTACCTAATTTGTTACTCAAACATCTGAGGAATTAGGCATTAACCATACAACAAATCCTAACCCTTTCAATACCTCAGCTTAAAGTGAATGAACCAGTATTATAAATACACGGAGCAGATGTAAGAAGAACATAAACTGTTTTCCATCTCTTCTTGGCTTGCTCTAAAGGAACATGTACACACCAGACTAGAGAGCAATACACTACAGGACTGCAGCTTGTTTCTGTAGTCGTATTAGAACATTCAGGATACCATTGTATACGGCTGCTTTCATAGCAGAACTGAATAGATTTGACATGGATCGTATGGCCCAAAAAGCTGAAAATATTTACTATCTAGCCTTCTAGTCTGCCCACCTCTGCACCCGACTCAAGACAAAGCTTGTAGTCTTCATTCTGCTTGAAACATTCTAGAGTCATCCCCAGACCTCTCAACTACTTTCTCTAGGATGCTATTTCCCAATTATTTCTGAGTCATATAGAGTGTCAAAGGTCGTTTACTTAAAAAAATTTTTTTTAATATTTATTCATTTTTGAGAAACAGAGAGAGACAGAGCATGAGTGGGGAGGGGCAGAGAGAGAGGGAGATTCAGAATCCAAAGCAGGCTCCAGGCTCTGAGCTGCCAGCACAGAGCCTGACTGGGGCTCGAACTAGTGACCTGAGCCAAAGTCAGACGCTTAACCGAATGAGCCACCTGGGCGCCCCAGTTGTTTACTTTTTTAAAGTGATTCCATCATCAAGTAAATTTGGGAAACACTGAGGTAATAAAATTTAACCAGTAAGAGTTTTCCTTCCTATAGAACTTTTTAGCCCTTTAATACCATATATTAATCATAACTATTCAAGAAAGAGATGGTTTGCACTAGAAAAAATACAGGACTGGCATTTCAGAGAATATAAAATGGAAATGACATTCTAGGACACTAATTTTTCTAGATCCTTGTACTTAAAAAAAATTTTAATGTTTGTTTATTTTTGAGAGACAGAGACAGAGTACAAGGGGGGGAGGGGCAGAGAGCGAGGGAAACACAGAATCTAAAGCAGGCTCAAAGCTCTGAGTTGTCAGCACAGAGCCCGACGTGGGGCTCCAAACGCATGAACTGCGAGACTGTGACCTGAGCCAAAGTCGGACTTCAACCAACTGAGCCACCCAGGGTGGGGGTGGGGGGGAGGGGTGAGGGGTGGTTCTTTAAAGATCAAACCTCTTCTTGAAAGCTGAGTGTTTTATCATAAGATATTAAGTATGGAAGAGAGGGAGAGAGCTTATTAAGCAACCATGTAAAAACAAAAACTGCAAGAAACTTAAGTACAAATGCAGATCCAAAATAAATGTTCAAAGATAAAGTTTGTGAATCCCAATTACTTAAAAGTTTATTTCTTTAAAGTGTATCACCCTTGGCAGCTGGTATAAAAGGAGGTTCTACCAGAGTAATTAGAACTCTGGAAAATATTTTGGTCCACAGAGTATGCCCAAAAGAGGCAAGAGTCTTCCTATATTAAAAAAGATGAGCAACCACATGAGGAATTACCTACCCACGAACTAGGCAATAGACACTTAGCAGTTGTTATGGGACCAACAATGTTTCTGATATCAACTATTCATGGAAACAAATGGATCTAGCTAACTAAAACATGAAATGACTTTTATCTAGATCATTAGGCAGTGGGAAAGAAGAACCAAAGAGAAACTATTAATCAAAAATTATCATTTCTAGGGGCGCCTGGGTGGCGCAGTCGGTTAAGCGTCCGATTTCAGCCAGGTCACGATCTCGCGGTCTGTGAGTTCGAGCCCTGCGTCAGGCTCTGGGCTGATGGCTCAGAGCCTGGAGCCTGTTTCCGATTCTGTGTCTCCCTCTCTCTCTGCCCCTCCCCCGTTCATGCTCTGTCTCTCTCTGTCCCCCAAAAAATAAATAAACGTTGAAAAAAAAATTAAAAAAAAATTATCATTTCTAGAGAAAAGGAAAAAACAAAAATGACACAGAAATAAAACAGGAATAATTAAAACCTAAAACCATATTAATTCATTGGTCATTGGTAATCAAGAATTTTGGTGCCAGGGAAAAGGGGCTGAACCCAATGATTTAGTCCAGACTGCTATTCGATTTCATTTCTGTTGACAAGTCTTTCTTTCTGAAAACTGACCATCTGACAACTGACATGAAAAGAGTGACACCTAGCATATTCAGTGACAAAAGAAAAAATGGAACAGACTCATTCAATCATTCTACCCAGCTCGGAATCATTTGGAACTGTAAGAATGCCTACTCTATCCTCACTCAAGTAGAAGCTAATTAAATGTGAAAAAGGACACTTTTGGGACATTCTATTAGATGATCTCATTTTGAAAATCTAGACATGCCTAGCTTTTCTTTTCTTTCTTTCTTTTGAACTATCTCCTAAGGATTCAAGATTATGGGATTTAAGACTCTTGATACTTACTGCCACAACAGTTTGCAAAGAGCTGCACGTTAATATTTTATATTAACTGCCACCATCACTAAATAGTTCACAAATACTAGATATTACCATCTTTATGACTACAAATCAAATGTTGAGTAGTATCTTAATAGCTATAATTTGCATTTTTACAATATTAGCAAACTTAAACATTTTAACAATTAAATTTGATTTTTCCCTAAAGAGGCAGCAGATATTGTAATAGGAAATATGAGATTTGCAGTCAAACAAATGGGAGTTCAAATTCCAGCACCTTCTCACTTTAGGGTTTAACTTTGGAGATTTATTAAACCATGCAAGCCTTGGTATCATATCTTTCTTTTGGAAATGTGGAAATGACTTTCATCACATGACTTTGTGAGGATCAAATGACATTTGTTAGGGTCCTGGCTATAAGCAGGATGACTCAATGAAAATCTGTTCTCTTCTCAATCTTCAATTCATGTCCTCTGTCAATAAACTTTGTAGGCAGTTAAGAGCATGAGCTCTAGAGTCAGACAGACAAAAGAGGAAATTCTGGCTCCACACATCTATTCTAGTGTGGTACCACTTTAATTTCTTTTGCCTCTGTTTCCTAATCTACAAAATGGGAACAACAATAATATCTATCTTTAAGGACTATTGTGGGAACTGGGCAAGAATATTATAATATGTGTGAGCACTGGCTGATATACAGTGGTAAATATATGTTAGAAATCAGTATTATCTTTTTGTTGTTGTTTACAAAACACATTATTTCATCTGAATCTCATAATTCTATGAATAAGGCACCTTCATATAACAAATATTTATTCAGTACCTACTATGTGCCACGCATATATTCCCATTTTCTAGCAAAGAAACTAACCCTGAAAGGTTACTGAATTTGTCAGGAGGACCCAGTAAATGGCAGAGACAGGTCCAAAGCCAGCTCTTCTTGGTCCAAGGCCACCCACCCTTTCCTGTTGTTCTGTTTTGATGTCTTAAATATTTAAGTTTTTAACCGATCTATAACTTATTTTTTGTCTTTTCTACTTTGAAAAGAATTCTCCTTGACAGAAAAGACAATCAAATAATTCTATCTTTTTTTTTTAACGTTTATTTATTTTTGAGACAGAGAGAAACAGAGCATGAACGGGGGAGGATCAGAGAGAGGGAGACACAGAATCTGAAACAGGCTCCGGGCTCTGAGCTGTTAGCACAGAACCAGACGCGGGGCTTGAACTCACGGACCGCGAGATCATGACCTGAGCCGAGGTCAGCCGCTTAACCGACTGAGCCACCCAGGCGCCCCTCAAATAATTCTATTTTCATCTGTTAAGAATTCATCATCTGTCTCAAAAAAATAAATAAAAAATAAATTTAAAAAACCCAATTCATCATCTGTCTCAAGAAGCATCTAAGCCTTCTTGACACTCTGAATGTTAC